GTGTCTCCACTGTCTCCTGGTTCCATTACTTTCCCCTTCCCTTCCCTCCCAACTAGATTCCCTAGAAGCTTCCTTTCACCAGTTTCACCGTCATCCACGAGAGGTTGAGAGAATTAACCAGGATGAGTGGATCTGCAAAAGTCAAGAATATATCCCAAGATATTTTAAGTTGACTACAAAGTTTAAACTACCATTTTTAAAAAAAAGGATTCCTTTGGAACTACAAAGATAATCAAATTCAAGGTTATTGCTATTGAATATGGACAAGGGATAAAGAGAAACTGAATAAGTTAAATATAGTCTACGAGATGGGAATCACACGTGCTCTTCAGCCTACCTGGCAACTGTGTGAACGTGCCGTTTGTAAGTTATAGTGAAGCACAATCCACTGATTTGGGAAATTAGACATTATCTGTGTCCTAAAGCAAATTTCCAGCTTCATTGAATGGTCAGAACCACTTTAGATAAGGCCTTCTGTCTAAGAATTTTGATACACTTAGATTTTTTGTACCACATGTTACTTTTAAAAATTAACATCATTTTCTACTTCTTCAAATTAGCATAATCTAACTATAGAACAGTTTGAGTATCCCTTATCCAAAAGGCTTAGGATACGAACTATTTTGGATTTTGGTTTTTTAATTTTGGAATATTCCCAGAAGGCTCACCGGTTAAGCATCCTCAACCCCAAAACTGAAAATCTGAAATATACCAACAGGCATTTCCTTTGAAAACATTTCCAATTTTTGGATTAGGGAGTTAAACCTGTATTGGTCAAATTAATTTATGTGCACTTGTCAGCTAGGTGGATTACCGTTCACTTGGAGAAACTTAAGTCATCTCCTCTTGAAACAAAATTTATAAAAATTTTATGAAATCCATAATTTATAAGTTTTGTGTAATAGTTATGACAAATACATCAATTTTTAAAAAGTCAAATTTGGTCAGAGAAAATTCTGAAGCCTAATTGGATACAGCAACACCACGCCTTCCTCTCCCTGAAACATATCCAACTTGCAGCCCACCTATGGTAGATCTCTGACTTTAAAAGCACACAAAATGGACTTTCACTGCAAAAACAGTGGCACTTGGAATGCTCTTGAAACAAATGAGTGAAATAGCTAAGGTTCTCACCACTGCATGTACCTGTCTGCACTTGAATATGGATTAATTTGACAGCATATTTTATGTTAGAAGGAAACCATCTATCCATCCATCTATTCATCCATCTGATTTACTAATATGAATAACATGTGGCAATGTCCAGAGTTTTCTCATTAGACATAATTTCCCAACATTTCCAACTAAATTATAATTTTGCATGTTAAGAGAAACGTCATAGAAATTTATGACGACAGATGAGATTATAACAGGGACATAGTATCCACCTTTACATTCCATGAAATAACACTCTGCCTATTTTCTCATGATGTAAAAAAGCTTAAGCTCCTAACAACCAGAAAGAAGACTGGCTTTATAATTATTACTTACTGTATTACTTGAGGCTGTCCTACAGAAAGTTGTAAGAGAAAGGACAGAGCACTAGATGGTTTGAGACCCCAGTGATTCGTGTGAAAGTTGGATTCAGGGGAAAAAAAACATGTGTTTTTGATACTCAAGACTCAAATCTAACACCACACTGAAACATACGGTTTTATTTGTCTGTTTCTATTTAAATGTTGCATCTAAGACATAACCTCTGAGATGTTCGATGGCGTTTTCAAGTTCATACAAATGAAGATGATTCTTACAATCTCTTTCCACATCCAAGACATTAAATGGGCACTTTGACCTTTATGAGCATTTCAAGAGCTTAGGACTGTCCACACAGTGGAGTCAGAAGCAACCTGTCAATTGCCTTTTCATGAAATTAAATGACAATGAAGCAATCTGTGTACATACCAAAAGGTGGTAGCGCTGTGTCAGGAGAAGATCTGGGTTCCAGGATGGGCATGCCTTATTTAAATACCTGCTTAGCGAAGACTTAATTTCCTCTTGGTTTATTCTTAATTGCATGATTGACCTTCTCAAGGGAAGGAATACTGAGACTCTAGTGCATCCTTCTGTCTTCTCTAAAATTCCTGGGAATGCTTTTTTTGCATGTTAAAACACCCATCAATCATAAGTCACCATTTAAAATAAATAATAAAACGCTCTGAAGTATTAAAAAAATAAACATTGGCTGCATAGGCTATACTGTTTCAAAGATTACTTACAACATAATTTATGTGTAACGAAGTTGAGACAGCCAAAGTGAAATCAAGTTATGTAAGCATGGGCACTTGTTAGACCTAACTAGAAACACTGCTGTGTGGTTTTTATCTTTAAGAAAAACAAACTAAGATGGGGAAAGCTCATGTGGATTCTGGAGTTGTTCTTAATACGTTTCATGTGTTGCAGCTTGGTTTTCCAAAGACAAGTACTTTTCTCATAGCTTGGCAAGGGGAAGTGGTGATTAGATGGTTACATAGAAAGGGTGACATCTGGTAATCAAGAAGGCCTGTGGAGGTTTCCCCTGGGTGTCTCTGGATATTAACACATGTAAAAAAAATCATAAATAAAAATGGTGCAGCCAGAAAATACATCCCACCAGCCAGGTGTGTGTGAGAGTTTTGGAAGGAAAAACTAAATCAGGAAAATGATGATAACAGAGATAACGTCATCAAACTGTCCACTGATCATTACAGTCTAGAAAAGAATATTTAAAAATATTCCCTGTAGAACAAGAGGACTAGGAGGGACTTTGAGAGGACAAGTGATTTAGTAGATCACTATTTAAACGCTGCAATGCAAGGGTAAAATTTCCCAAGACTGACTTGGGGTTTCTCTTGCATAGCTGCCTATTCAAACATCATGTATATCACCTTTTAAAAATTAATTAATTTGTATTTTGATTAATTTATTTATTATAAAGATGTGGGGTACAATTCAGGGTTAGGTACACAAACATTGATCATGCAGGTACCGTTGTTGATGAGATATGCCCCTCCCTCCCCTAGCAGTTTCCCTCAACTACCAGTCCCACCCCCCCCGACAGTTTCATCGCTTTCTTATAGCATTATAATTGTTCAAGTTCACCGAACGAGTGAGAGCATATGGAACTCAGTTCTTTGTTTCTGTGATAGGTCACTGAGTGTGATTGACTCCAAATCTATCCAAGTTGCAAGTGTCTATTCATATCTTTTGCCCCCCCCCTTTTTTTAATTGTAGAGATGAGGTCTCGCCAAGTTGCCCAGGCGGGTCTCGAACCCACAAACCCACAGGCTCAGGCAATCCACTCACTTCAGCCTCCCAAAGCACGGATTACAGACTGAGCCACCGAGCCTGGCTCTTTTGCCTACTTTTTAAAGGGGCTGCTTGTTTTTTTCCTTTTGGCACATTTGAGTTCCTTGTAGATCCTAGATGTTAGGCCTTTGTCAGATAAACAGTTGGCAAATATATTTTCCCATTCTGTGGGCTGTCTCCCTGCTCTCTTGATGGTTTCTTTTGCTTTGCAGAAGCTCGTTAATTTGATGAGGTCCCACTTGTCTATTTTATTTCTTAAGGTATTGGCCTTCAGGGTTCTGAATAGGAATTGGTTCCCAGTTCCAATTTTCATAAAGGTGTCTCCTGCGCTTTCTAAGATCCTTATAGTTTGAGGTTTTACATTCAGGTCTTTGAATGTAAAGGGTAAATGTAAATGTAAAAAAAAAAATGTAAACGATAAAATTTCCCAAGATTGACTTGGGGTTTCTCTTGCATAGCTGCCTATTCAAACACCATGTATATCACCTTTTTTTTTTTAAATGAGAGAGAAAGTTGTATTTTTAGAGTATTTTAGAGTTATCGATGTTAAGCCATATGTAGTAGGTGAAGCACCGGTTTTAGAGTCAAGCCAATCTGACTCTGGTGTTTAAATAACTAAGGATGTGGTCTTAGGCATGCTCCTGAAATCTGCTGAGCTCCAGATTCCTCATTCCTCATGGGTAAACATGAATAAATCATATCTGCGTTACAGGATATTTGCCAGGATTACAGGTAACATAATAAAGGTGTCTAGCACAGGGCCTGATTTGGGGTCAGAATACCGGAGGTGCCAAAAAAAATCCACACATTTTAAGAGATATTATCTATGTATTATTTTTCGACATTGAATTGAATTACAGTAGCAATGTGTAGTAGGATATTCACTCAAAAGATGGCGTTAATCAAGCTAGTGTCACCATGCGACAGGAAAGACAGTCAAAGAAAATGGTGGAAGCATGGCTGTCCTTTGAGGAGCACAAGACCGTTTTGAAGTGGTATTTGAAATTCAAGAGTGCTGTGACGTATGACAATGGAGGTATGAGTATGCAAAAGAATCTCCAACATGCCTGACAATTGCATGCATTCGTAATAAGTTTGAAACACATGGTACTGTGTGTGATGTGCACAAGGGAAGATCCAGGAGACCTCGCACAGCAAAAGTAGTTCACCATCATCAAAAGTATCTGGACGCTGACGGTAATCACTTTAAGCACCTCTTGTAATTGCAGAAGTCAGAGGTCACTTGTATTCATCTTTTGTTACTGGTATATGTTGAGATTACAATTTTAATAGCTTTTTTCCTTTCTCAAAATGTGTATACATTTTTTGGGCACCCTCTGTAGTATTCTCGCTGCAGCTTTACGAACCCAGCAAGCAAACAGCAAAAGCAACTCTTTCCAGTGGCTTTCATCTTATGACTTATCTCCTTTTTCTACTTCTTATTCAAGGGCAGATATATCTCTTCTTCTAAAAACAAAAAGGAGGGGGGTAAGGGAGGGAAAGAAACTTCCGATTTCAAGATGATGAAAACCGTATTTTTATTCTTTTCTTCTTTTACAAGTTCGCCCCAAATAATGAAAACAAGAAACAAAAATGCAAGCCCCGTTCCCCATGGATTTAGGAGACTTCTCTAACGCTAAACCAAAATATATAACCCAGCAAATGGATGGGTGCATGGGGAGTGATTTTGCAGAGTGGAGTAGCTTCAAACTCACGTGCTTCCCGAGAAGGTGACCGTGGAGAAGCAGGTTAATCCTCCCTGCAGCTCAGCAAGTCTTGGAAATTGGAGGCAACAGCTCTTAAGGACAGTGGGGACCAGAACACAGCAAGATGGTCTGAAAGTCTCACAAGACGGTAGACTTCCAGTTCCCTTCCCAACTGCAAGCAGGTAGTCTACACTGCAAGATGTGGGGATATATTCTACTAGAAAACCATACCCGAGAAGTTCCAAACTCTGGGACACCAGGCCAAAGAACCAAGTGGAAACTTCCTACCAGTAGATAAGCCTGGTGTGGCAAAGAGTTCCCAAATGTTTTCAAAGCATACCCTCAATGTTACTATCTCATTCCAAAGCAACCAGCCCCTCCAGATGGCTTCTTAAGGCAAGCGGGATAGTGGCTTCCTCACCTCACCTCTTCAATGACTCAGTCTTAAATGAAGACATATGCAACTGAAAACGGGAGAAACCAACCTGTGTGATCTATTTTCATCATTCCAGCCAAGCTGTGGCATTCCTGAAAGAGAATCCGTAGGAGACTTTTGCCAGGAAGTACACGCAATAGGGTCCTTTGGGGCTAATTTTAAGAGACTGGGGGTTTTGGTTCTGAATTTCTTTGTAAAGTTCTTCAAAGTGAGGAAGATTTTCTTTCTTCCTTTTAACCTTCTTCCTTTGCTGAAATCTTTATTGAGCCTTGCATGACTGTGAGAACTATTAGAATTTTATACCAGATGCCCCGAGAACAGAGCTGAATAAAGTAGCTCATCTCCCATTGGAGCACGCTTTTTAACCAGAAAAGGTGCTTCTTTCAGACAAATGTAATAGTATCACGGTTACTACAGCAGCCACTGAAAGCAAACTAACAACAAAACAAAAATCCAAACCCACCCACTTACTCATCCATATATAAGCTTGTTATCACCAAATTTCAGTGACAATATGAAAAGAATCATCAGAATCATGGTGGGTATAACTTGCTAGTATACACACATCATTGAAGGTCAAGTTCAAGTGAGGAAAACAGTATGGTGGCTCCTCAAAAAAATTAACACAGACTCACCATTCGATCCAGTAACTCCACTACCGGGTACTACTCAAAAGAATGGAATGCAGGGACTTGGACAGACACTAATGTTCACAGCAGCATTATCCATGATAGCCAAAAGGTAGAAATAACCCAAGTGCCCACCAGTGGATGAATAGATAAACAAAATGTGGTATACAGTAAATCCCCTACATATGAACCTTCAAGTTGTGAACTTTCAGAGATGTGAACATGTGTTTGCATGTCCAATCACATAAGTTAGTTTATGTATCTGGTGTATATTGTCATGTGCATGCATCCTCTACAAGTGGTTGTGCTTTTGTGTACTTTCCTATACAGCACTGTACAGAGCACAGTAAGTAGTACAGTATCTTCATTTCAAGCTCAGGGTATCTAGAAGCAAGCATAAGAGCAGCAGTGATGCCGCTGGTACTATATAGCCAATTGTGCTAGTTGGGTTCCTAGGCTAACTTTGTTGGGCTTATGAATGAATTGGATTTATGAACACAATCTTGGAACAGAACTAATTTGTGTGTAGAGGATTTACTGTATACACCTAGGATGGAATACAGTTCAGCCTTAAAAAGAAAGGAAATTCTGACACATGCTACCACATAGATAAACCTGGAAGACAGTATGCTAAGTGAAATAAGCCAGACATGAAGGACAAACACTGTATGATCCTACTCATCTTAGGAATCTAGAGTAGCCAGTTTATAGAGACATCTTCAGTTTGGGAAGATGAAAAAGTTCTGGAGGTGGATAGCGGTGGTGACAGAACAATGTGAATGTACTTAATGCTACTGAATTTTATACCAAAGTATGGCTGAAATGGTAGATTTTATATGGATATTTTGCAATGTGCTCACACACACAGTAATCAAATGAGGAAACAATATAGTTGAAGTCGTTCCTCTAATCATTGAAACCTTGATTATGGCATCATCTGGGTTTTAGCTGTTTGAACTACAGAAACAAATTAGAAAGTTGGTATGGGAAGGTTATTCTTAGATGGGGCTCAGGCAACAGCCAGAAGGTATATATTCCAACAAGGCTGTAAGCAATAATTTTTTTATTCAACAGATATTTATCATATGCCTACTCAAAGGACAGAACACCTGGAGGTTAGGGCTCTGGACTTTGGGGATGTATTTTCGGGGTTTGAACCCAGACGCTGTGACTTCCCAGCTGTGGGTTTTAGATAATTGACATCAAGTCCTTCTCATTCAATCTCCTCATCTAAAAAATGGAACAGTAATAGTTCCCATCAGAGGCTTGGGGTGAGGGTTCAATGAATTAAAATGTATAAAGAGCTTATACGTGCTGGTATACACCAAGTGCAACAGAAAATGTGACAAGAAATCTGCTGTTTTTCCGACTGTGTCCCCCACACTGAGCCCACCTGAAGGATATCGAGTACTGAAGAGCCGGCGAGTTGGAAGCAAGCAGCTCCCATCACAGACTCCCACCAGGCCTGGCTTTAAGTGGGAAGCAGCCAGTGCTCACTGACAGCAATACGGAGACCAGTGTCTCAACCATCTGTGTTTTCACATACACTCCTACTCAAAGTTGGTCTTACTGACTAGCAGCGGAAATGAAACCCTCTCAGGCTACTGAAGCATCCCACCTCCCTACAATCCACACAATGTCCATCTCAGTGACTAAATGTATATGACTGGATCTCTGACTGCTTACTGAAAGCCGGCCCAGGAACTCACAGGAGAGGCCGACAACAGTGCAAGCCCCAAGGTGGAGAACACCAGTGGTCACCTTTGCGTGCTGATTTTCTGTCTCTCGTGGCATATCCGTGTGCTTCAGACTCACAGGGTCAAGGTACTCAGCAGACAAACAGCCGGAGTCCAGAGGGCTTTTGGAGATAAGAACCTCGGATTGACTTCCTTTTTGCAACTAGGTCGATGCTATACACTCCACCTCTTCTACCCAATTTCTCTCTTTCCTGACTTCCCTAAATAAGTTTTCTACCTCTTCAACCATGATCCTATTTGCTGGCTACCTTCTCCCTCCTTCCCAATTCAGATGAGAAGCTGATCGTCTCTGGAGCATAAGGAAAAATATAATGCGTTGAAAAAGATTTGATATTATCTTTGCAAAAAATAAAATACAGTAAAATTATGCCTATGGCATATACTTATACACATAGAAGTAGCAATATTTATTATTACATTAAAATTATAAAGTCTAAGTTAGGTATTCACCGGGTATTGACAAGTGGTTCTTTGTAGGTGAGTGAGAGAAAACATGTTCCTCACGTTCTTTTTCTGAGTGTCGTCTGATTCTTCTGTAATAAGCACGGACTGATTTTGTAATAAGAGAAGATAAAGAAAATAATGAAAGAGTCATTACTTTTCAAAGTCTTTTGGTATATTTTCAGAGCCAGCCTTGGCGATGCTGTCAGAAACTGCTGATTTCAAGATGGGCTAAGGAATAATGTTCACAAGCACAACTGCAAAGTCATCACCACACCGATCATGACTCACTTGGCCAACCCAGAAACTGAGGGTTTCATCCGGGACAAAGTCATTATTGTCACCACTAGGTTCAGCCAAAGACTTTTTGGCCAAGGTACCTGGAACCTATATGTGGAATCATTAAGAAATGGCTTCCTGTTTTTCAGCTCAAAAATTGATTTCATAGAAATTTATTTATTTTCATAAGGTGTCCTTTTTCTTTCTTTTTTCCCCCTTTTTTTGAGTCGCACTCTGTCACCCAGGCTGGAGTGCAGTGGCACACTCACGGCTACCATATCCTCAACCTGCGGGCTCAGGCGATCCTTCTGCCTCAGCCTTCCAAGCAGCTGGAACTGCAGGCATGTGCCTCCATGCCTGGCCAATATTTTGATTTAGTGTAGAGATGAGGCCTTGCTATGTTGCCCAGGCTAGTCTCAAGCTGCTGGACTCAGGCAATCCTGTTACCTCCACCTCCCAAAGCGCTGGGATTACAGGCATGAGCCACCACACTTGGCCTCAAACAGGGTTTAATAGAACAATTCCCCCCACTTGTAAAACAGGTTTAAACCAACAAATCTCTTGCTCTCATTTATTCTCATGGTTGTTAAATTTGGGATTCACTGATAGTTGTGAATCTTATTCTGGGTCAACATCCTAAGACAGTGCATGGAAAAGCAGAGACTATACCTTGGCAGCAAATGGTTCACTATATGCAGGAACACTATGGGACCCAATGTCCAAAGTCCTAGGCATTGATTTCTTCTGATTTTTTTTTTTCCAATCAGAGTCTCACTCTGTCACCCAGGCTGGAGTGCAGTGGCACACTCATGGCCACTGCAGCCTCCACCTGCTGGGCTCAGGTGATCCTTCTGCCTCAGCCTTCCAAGTAGCATGTGCCACCATGCCTGGATAATTTTTTTATTTATTGTAGAGATAAGGGCTCCCCAAGTTGCTCGGGCTCAGACAATCCTCTCACCTCAGCCTCCCAAAGTGCTGAGATGATAGGTGTGAGCCACCGCACCCCGCCCTTGATTCTATTGTTAACTCTCTGAGCATTCTAGGAATACCTGAATGGTTATTAGTAACACTATAGTGGCATTTACCAAGCAAATCATATCTCCAAGCATTGCATTGTATGTGATAAACTGACCAGTATGCCAAAAGTCTTTCACCATGGTCATCAAGTGTTCTGGAAAGTGTCTTAACTACTCTTTTGCGGCCTCATCCTTCCACTCTGGAATTTTTCTGAAGTTTAGCCGTTGTTTCCTCGTTTCTCTACCTGCCTCAAAGAGTGGACACATTCTCAGGGTTTCAACTCTCCCCTTTTTGCTCATAAAGCCTAAACTGCTAAAAAGTGGGCATTTTAATTGCCTTCATTTGGTTTGCCTGTATTTTCTAAGTTTTCTATAATTATCTGGTTATTACTTTGGGAATGAGAAAATGTTATAATTTAAAATAAAAATTTAAAAAACCCTAATTTCTCACTGCCAAGGCAAAATAGAATGGCATTCTTGACGGAGTCAGAACTCTAAGGCAAATAACCCACAAAGCTGTTTTTAATCATTGCTTTCTATTTTTTCTCCCAGTAGGAGCTCCAAATTACCCACAACAGCTGCATTTTCAGGTCACTAGTGTGGCAGAGGTAGATGTTTTCTTGTTTCTACTTTCCTTTTTTTGTCCTGTAGTATCAGAAACCCAAGTAATAACTGGACATAACCACCTAGAATAAAGGCAACATTTCTCAGCCTCTCACCCCACCAGTATGATCTTATGAACTGGGCTGGCCAACAGGATGTGAGTGGCCAAGATGTGTGCAACTTCCAGATGGTGACCTTAAATGGAAGAAACACATGCCTGCCATTCTTCTTCCCCCTTGCTCCTTCCCATGAAGGAAGCGATTGGGAACGTGACTGTGGTAGTGGTGAGCCATCTTGGACAATGTGAGGTCCGTACCCTAGCGATGGGTGGATCAACACACAAAGAACCCAAGTGTGTAACACCTCTTAGTTACCATGTTCACCACTGAGCTAGGGACCTCTGACAGTTTTGTGTAAGAGGAAAAAAAAACCCTCCATCTTCTTTAAGATGTTATTTTGGGTTTCAGTTATAGGAGCCCTGATCTATCTCTAAAGCCAAAATGATGGAAGGAAATGGACTCCCGGAAGAAAGGCTACTAAAATACAAGGTTAGTAAGTCACAGAAGGCTCAGAGAAGATGTGACCTTTTTCTTGCACCAGTAACAACTGTGCATAGAGCCCTTGAGTCTTATAAAATGCTCATCCCTGAAATGTAAATGTCTAGAACCTTCCTCATAAATTATCTGATACTAAGGGATGCTCTACTTTGACAGGGCCATGATCCTTCTTTCCACTGGACAGTGGGCAGTTTCATTGGAGCTCAGTCCCCTTTAACTGCAGTTCACTGTGCACCTGAGGCATTTCCACAAAAATTGTAGTATAAGAATTTGTAAATATAACTTACCAATTCAAAGTTTTGCCTGCAGGCCAGCTACTTGGAAATAAAATGGGGAAACCTTAGAGAGTTTCACTTGTAATGACTTTGAAAAGGACCGATCTGAGATAGCCTTTCTTAGGTGAATTAATCATGATGTGACAGACCCCACTGCTCACATGCATAAAACCCTTAAGGAAAATGATACAACTGACATTAATTCGGGCCTAAATTACTGGAGGAAGAAATCCACACAACACCAAAAGTAGAACTTCTTTTTTTTTTGAGTTGGAGTCTCACTCTGTCGCCCAGACTGGAGTGCAGTGGCCACTCCCGGCCACCGCAGCCTCGACCTGCTGGTCTCCGGCGATCCTTCCACCTCAGCCTTCCAAGTAGCCGGAATTACAGGCATGCGCTACCATGTCTAGCTGATTTTTTGATTTATTGTAGAGATGAGGTCTCACTGCCCAGGCGGGTCTCGAACCTGCGGGCTCAGGCAATCCACTCACCTCAGCCTCCCAAAGGCGCGGGATTACAGGCTGAGCCACCAAGCCCAGCTAGAACTTCTACTTCTAAATCCTTACAAATGAGGGCAGGATTCTTCTATTTGTTTAAATTCTGAACTTTATAAATAATGACACAATATCACAGTAAAAATTTCAATTCAGATTAGTTAAGAACTGAAAGTATCAAGTTTGACTTAATTCAATGAACAATTTTTTTTTTATTATAAAGATGTGGGGTACAATTCAGGGTTAAGTATACAAATGTTGATTATGCAGGTACCCTTGTTGATGAGGAATGCCCCTCCCTCCCCTAGCAGTTTCCCTCAGCTGCCAATCCCACCCCCCTCCCTTGACAGTTTTCCACTACTGCCAATCCCTTTCTTACAGTATTATGATAATTGTTCAAGGTCCGTTTATGAGTGAAAAATTGTGGTACTCTGTACTTTGTTTCTGTGGTAAATCTTTGTTTCTGTGGTAAAACTCCAAATCCATCCAAGTCGTTGCAATCAATGAACAATTAATTAAGAGCTTGCTGTATGCCAAAAGAAGCATTTTCCATAGATTATTTAATTCTTACAATAATTTTTTTTAACAGATTCCCTAACATGCAGAACACCCTAAATAACCTGTTCAGATTAGTAGCTAAGCTAGGACATGAGCCCAGGCTGCTGGGCTCCAAGGTCACTACTCCTTCCCTGAACTGGGTTTTAGAGGAGACACAGAGAGGAGTAGAATTTGCATTTGTTCCTCAAAGACAATCAGTGTGGGAGAAATAGATTTGCACAACTCGGGATAACACAAGACAGAGCAATAAAAGCACTGGAACAGAAGGAAAATGCATCCTCTTGGTACAAAGAAATTGGCTGAGTTTCAAGAGCCTGTTGGAACTGTCCCTGTCCCCAGAAAGATGAATCAGGCCCCACATAAAGGGCACCCATGCTCACTCACTACCAGTCCTGCCCTCCAGCGTGGACAAATTCAGTTTCCCTGTTGTCCAATCTCAGCAACCCTCTGGACAATAATTTCCTCCAGTTTTGGTTCAGAATATCCTTGGACCACCTTTAGGATGTGTCTCCCAGACCCGAACCTAGTTTAATCTGTAGGACAAGAGAGGCTGGGAAGAAAAGACTGCATACAGAGAAGGTGGTTTAGAAGGCTTCTAAAATATCTCAACCTAGAGATTAAGAGGGCCTAAAATGATAGGGGAATTGAAAGATGAGGACAGAGTTAAAAAAAAAAATTGGAGGCAGAATCTATAGGGCTTCCTAACCATAAGATACAGGATTTGTGGAGGACAGGAAAACCCAAATCCAAGACTAGAGGTTTATTTTAGTCTAGCTGCCTGGAGCATGGGGTTGCCATGGACTCATATGAGATAAATCATAAGAGAGTTAATTACAGGAGATTTTTAGAGCACAGATTTGGGGATGACTAGAAGGTATTATATTCAGTTTGAAAATATTTTTTAATATGTTTGAGGTCGTAGGCAGCTCAAGGGCAGGGCAGGGCGTGGAGGGTGCTAGATATGCTGGTTGGATGAAGCTGAGCAATGAAAACAAGTGCCCAGAGGGCGCGGGGCCGAAGACATGACTAGGGAGATGTCCTCCTGGCAGAACTGAGCATGGTAAAGAAACCAGAGGGCAAAAGAGAGAAAAATTAGTCAGGAAGTCGATATCAAGGAAGGCAACACACTGGCTGTATGAGCTTGCACAAATCCCTTAACTACTTCTGGTCTCTGTTTTCTGTTCTGGAGAAAAAAAAAAGAAAAGAAAAGAAAAAAAAAGACCTTGGACTTGGGTGATCATTAAGGTCTCCTCCAGCACAAAAATTCTCTGGCTCCAAGTAATTTTTCATGTGATACAAAACTGTTAATTACAGTATGAGATGCTCCATTAATGAGTGTTTTTCAGAGTCAAAGAAATACAGATAGAAAAAAAGTGCACCCTTAGTCCTCAGAAAAAGGAGAAATGAACTAGAGGAAACTGCTTTAAGAAATTAGTCTTGATCATTCCA